CAACGATGAACAGTGCTGTGGAAGTATAAGCTAAAGAAACCCTTTTTCCTCCTCAACTTGCTTTTTGGTCATGGTGTTTCATCACAGCAATAGAAACCCTAACTATGACAATTTGTTACACAGAATTGAAATAGCACCCATTCCACCCAACAAGACAAGGAACTTCACACACACACACATACACACACACACACACACACACACACACACACACACACACACACGCACACACACACACACACACACACACACACACACACACACACACACACACACAAATGGGCCAAAGTCATTTCTCAAAAGAGGAAAGTGGGCTGAGCAAGAAGTATGTAAGAGAAGCTATGAATCTAGGTCAAGGTACTACAAAGTATTGGAGCTGGATCACAAGGCAGGATCAAATGTGAAACCTCTGCAAAGGAAGGCATGCAATGGACTTCTCACTTGAAGAAACAATGAGGAGGGGGTGGCATTCTCCAAATTGGACGAGACAAGAAAAGCAGTTGGTAACCAGCACAGAGAAAGGAGGAATAACAGAAATCACAATACCCAGAACCTGAGATCTCCAAAGCACCATGCACAGACAGTGAAATGTTAGGTGAGAGAAGGAGTGATTGCAGAGGTGAAAGCTGACTTTTTAAGAGATGAGCCCAAAAGATGTGCATCCTTCCAAGACTCTGTCAGTAAGAGCAGTTATAGAAGAAGCCGGTAAATAGAATGTGGTCAGAGGGTTAGAAAGCAGATCATTTCCAGGACTATCATCTTGCTATTCCAAATGAAAATAAAGATGGAGGAGGAATTCTAGTGTTTTCTCAAGGGTACTCAATGTCACTACACCCCAGCTACAACTTGGTAAGGTTTCCAAATCCTGCGCACCAATGTAGGAGAGTTGGCTTTGCCTTATTAGATGACAGAGAGGTCTTCTGCTGCTCTCAAAGCCAACACGGAGTTTGTATTAAATTTTGCACCATGCTCTTAAGGATACTCAGAGAGATCGGGGCAGTTTGGTAAGTGAGAGACAGGAACCCTTGTGCCATGTCACCCTGCCATTCCTCACTCATGACCCCATACTATAAGGGTTTGGCTCCTTGAGTAAGTCAAAATTCTTCAACATAGCAGAACACAGGAAGAGGAGTAGTCCACATTCAGGGAACCCTCCCTCCCATTTATGAATTGAAATTGCTCTGTGGAAGGTACAATCTCAATCAGGGAAGACTGTGCAACAACCCTTCCCCTCCCCTCCCCCCGTCCCCGCCCTTCCCTCTAGGGGTCGGAGCCTGTGGTGCTGGAGGTCCAAAGCTTGATCGGCCATAGTGGGCGGGACCTTAGCCGGAAGCAAAGGGGTGGTGGCTTTTCCAGGGCACCTTCTACAATACACAATGGTGACAGGATCTTTGATGTTCTGAAGGTTTTGCTGTTGAACTAGTTTCTTGCCTCTTTGCCTCTGCTAGTTCTGTGCCTTTTACCTAGAAGTCCCGTCCTACCCTTATCTCTCTATAAATATTAATTTTCCTTGCAGCCCATTCTCCAAGGAAGCCCCTTGAAAACTTCCACTCTATACCTAAAAGGACCTTTTTTCCTATTTATCGATTCAAATCCTTATTAAACACTAAACACACACACACACACACACACACACACACACACACACACACACACACATACACACGTATATCGAGCCCTGTTGGCAGTGCTAGAGTTCTCAGTTCCTGCTCTGATTAAGCTTAAAATTTGTAGACTGTATCTGGGAGGTCCTGGTCTGGACAAAATAAATCTGAGTGGGAAGATCTTATTATTTTCTATGAGGTTGTCTAGTTAGAACTTCACTGGTAAAGTGATAGTTAAACAAAAGTGAGAAAGAAAGGAGCAAGCCGCTTGATGTCTGTATAAAAAGGGAACAGCAATTATGGAGCATAGTTAAGAGAGATGGTGGCTGGAGCCAGCGAAGTAGAGAGCTCCAGAGAGAGAAGAGATGGGCACAGTGAGTGGGAATCGGACTCCTGTGGCAACAATTATTCCCTGCTCATTTTGGACTGAAGATCAAGAAGGACCCCATGTCCTACCTCTACCAAATGGAGCTTCTGAAAAACTAGACCCTTTATCTATGACTCATCCCTAACCCCCCTTACTGCTGAGCACTGTTTCTGGGCCCTTCTCTGCTTTATTCCCTCCCAGAACAATATATGGGTTTGATCACTTTCCATAATCAAGGGTTTAAAATATGCACATAGAAAGAGGAAGAGATAAATGAACTATAATCTCATCTTTCACAAAAGGAAATCAGCAGACAGTGTCTAAAGTTGAAAAAACACAAGATAACAGTAAAGATATAGACAAAGGCTTTTGGGAAATAAAGTCTCAAAACTGACATGAGAAACATTTAAAATGAAAACTATGCTTTAAAGAAGTAGAATGGATGACTTTCATTTTGTACTATATGCCAAATGTGTTACCTTATTATGTGTTGAAGTATTGACCCCAAAAAGATGCATTGAAGTTCTAACACTTAACACTTCAAAGTATATCATTTTTTTGGGAACAGGGTCTTTACAGAGGTAACCAAGTTAAAGGTGCAGTGACTCCAGATCAAGTATGATTAGTATCCTTATAAAAATAGGGACGATTAGGAAGTTAAAGAGATGGCTTTGTCAGTAAAGTGCTTGCTGAATAAGTGGACATAAATTCAGCCCCCAGCACCCATGTAAAAAGGCCAGGCACAGCAGAGCACACCCGTAGTCCCAGTGCTGGGGAGGTAGATACAGGAAGATTCCTAAGATTCACTGGCCAGTTGCTCTTGGCCAGTTGGTAAGCTTAGGTTCATGGAGACCCTGTCTCAAAAATAAGATGGGGAACATTCACATAAGATACAACACGTCAACTCCTGGGTTCCACATGCATACATGCAGGCACAGCCACACAAAAAAACATACAATAAAAACATAAACATATATACATACACATAGAAATATGGGATGGAGATTGAACACAAATACACATAAAGAAATGTACATGTGCTGGGCGATGGTGCTGCACACCTTTAATCCCAGCACTCAGGAGGCAGAGACAGTCGGATATCTAAGTTTGAGGCCAGTCTGGTCTACAGAGTGAGTTCCAGGACAGTCAGGGCTACACAGAGAAACCCTGTCTTGAAAAAAACAAAAAAGAGAGTGGGGGTACATGTGAAGAGAGAAAAGTGAATCAATACACCTAAGGAATGTCAGAGACATTGGAGAACACAAGATTAGCTGGGAGCATGCAAGGAATGGACCTTCCCTCATAGGCTTCAGAGAGTGCATTGTCAGCTGGCATTTTGAATTCAGAGTTCTCCCCTCCAGAACTGTAAGGCACAATTTTCTAAGCCACACAATCTGTGGTACAAGTACATTAACACTTTAAATACAACTTAAAAAACAATTTAAGGTTAAGACAATTGATGGTAACTGGGCCTGTGATCAGAGTTACTCAGATGGCTGGAGCAGGAGTGCAAATGCAAGGCAGCTTGAGAAACTTACCAAGAACCTATCTCAAAAACCAACTAAAAAATATAAAAGAGAAGGGAATGCAGCCCACTGGTAAGGAACTGGCCTAGAACGTATAAGGCCCAGGGTTCAATCCATAATACTGCAAAATAAGAAAAAAAAACCCACACAGGACAGTCTTAGCCAGCCCTTAGACACAGTAAGCATTTATGCTGCCTTCTAAATAAATTACCTCACCCTAAGCTGGGTCCAAGCTGCAGAGCCCATGCTGCAGTCTTCCTTTTTTTTTTTTTTCCAGACAGGGTTTCTCAGTGTAGTTTTGCTGCCTGTCTTGGATCTCACTCTGCTGTGGGATGGTCTGTATGTCAAATGTGTTGCTGATTGGTCAATGAATAAATCACTGATTGGCAGTGGCCAGGCAGGAAGTATAGGCGGGACTAACAGAGAGGAGAATTGAGAGAACTGGAAGCTGGGTGAGGGAGACACTGCCAGCCGCCATCAGGACAAGGAAGATGTAAAGTACCGGTAAGCCACAAGCCACGTGGCAAGGTATAGATTAATAGAAATGGATTAATTTAAGCTGTAAGAACAGTTAACAAGAAGCCTGCCACGGCCATACAGTTTGTAATCAATATAAGTCTCTGTGTTTACTTGATCGGGTTTGAGCGGCTTGGGACTGGCGGGTGAGAGAGATTTGTCCTGACTGTGGGTCAGGCAGGAAAACTCTAGCTACATCGCTCTGTAGACCAGTCTGGCCTAAAACTCACAGAAATCCGCCTGGCTCTGCCTCCTGAATACTGGGATTAAAGGCATGCGCCACCACTGCCCAGTGCTGCATTGTCTTCTAATGACACACCCACACATACTTCTTGGAGGCATAGGAAAATTAATCAGCCTTCACATGTTTCTATATTATCAAGGATACTCCAGGGCCTATCCAAGACACTTATGCATCAGAGCTATTCTCACTTATCACAAAAGTCAGTTCTGTAACTCTAGGAAATTTCTGAGATGCTATGCAGATAGAGGTCACAAGTTCTCTTGCCCTTGTACTACTACTGTCTCCCGACCTGTGGCTCTGTCTCCAGGGAAACAAGAAACAGAGCACAAGAGAAAATTAACACTCAGCTACCCTGCCACTGTGGCAGGGTGTGTGCATTGTATGTTTTTTGTGTGGATGGGACTGTATGTGTGCATATGGAGCCCAGGATTTGACAGGTTGTATCTTATTTGAATATTCTCAACCTTATTTTTTTATCTTTATAATCATTCTAATCTTCTAGAATGCCTTTGGCCAGGCATATGTGTTGGTTATGCCCCCGAGCTGCCCCTCGTGGCTGGTCACCGCCCGCGGCGGCCATGCCCGCGGAGGAGCGTGCCCGCGGAGGAGCGTGCTGATTGAAAGAACCATAGCCATGGTTACCTTTTTAGAGCTTTATTGGGGTGGGGGAGAGACAGAGAAAGACAGAGAGAGAGAGAGAGAGAGAGAGAGAGAGAGAGAGAGAGAGAAACAAGGGGGGGAGAGGGAGAGAGGGGGACCGACGGGGGGAAGGAGCGCAAAGGAGAGGGGACAGAGAGAGCCCACAGAGGGCTCAACCGCTTTTTAGGCTGGGAAGCCAGCGAAGGCTGATGACGTAATTAAAGGATGTAAATAAGGACCAAAACCTTACAATATGCATATTTCTAGGCCTGGATGTGTATCTTCTCTTGCAAGTAAGAATTGGGGGCCCTCCACCTAATTCTAGGTGGTACTCACTGTTCTAGACACCTCCATGAAAGAAAGAGGCAGAGTGTACAGAAAACTGTAGCTTGGGAAACATTCATGTCCACTCATAAGATGAATTCTTTGAAGAGAATTCGGATATTTTATTTCTTTGTGTGACAGGGTTCCTTGAATAAGCTTTGTGGTAGGCTCTATTCCTTCGACTCACTGCTGTATCCCTGTAAGCATTCTTTAGTAGGCTTCAAGGACTCACTGGGATAAGAAGTATGATGTTAATAACATGCATGAGAGTGAATAACCCACAGTATATTCAACATGGTGCCTGTGAGGACACTCACTCTGTAGTAAGAAGGGCAGGGTTAAACTCTGTGAACACATGAAATTGTGTCCCCAAATGTAATACAACATTCATTGTACCTGCCAAGAGTGCCAAGCATGCAACTGAATATTCTCAGAAGTGGTTGTGTCGAGATGTATAAGGCAGCCATGGGACTCTGCTCTCCTGCTGTCTGGAAACTGTAGATGAACATAGCCAGGCCTGGATCACCATGGTCTGTAGCAGCTCAGGCTGTCCTTGGCTTCAGAGGATGATGAAAGTGAATTGCATCACAACCAGACTTTGACTCTGTCTTTGTTCCCTAAAGGTGCATGTGGAGCCCCATGGAACACATGGAGACAGACTGGGGGCTGCGCTGCTCAGCAGTTCTGACCTTTACAGAGCTACCATGTGGTGGTATTGTGTTCCCTGTAATATTGTGCACCCTAATAAACTTATCTGGGGTCAGAGACAGAACAGCCACAATATTAAACATAGAGGATAGGCAGTGGTAGCACACACCTTTAATCCTAGCATTCCAGAGGCAGAAATCCCTCTGGATCTCTGTGAGTTCAAGGCCACATTGGAAACAGCCAGGCATGGTGACACATGTCTTTAATCCCAAGAAGTGAGCCTTTAATCCCAGGGAGTGGTGGCAGATAGCAGAAAGGTATATAAGGCGTGAGGACCAGAAACTAGAAGCGTTTGGCTGGTTAAGCTTTTAGGCTTCTAGCAGCAGTTCAGCTGAGATCCATTGGAATATGAGGACTCAGAGGCTTCCAGTCTGAATAAACAGGATCAGCTGAGGAACTGGCAAGGTGAGGAAGCTGTGGCTTTTTCTGTCTCTCTGATCTTCCAGCATTCACCCCAATAACTAGCCTCAGGCTTGATTTTTATTAATAAGACCTCTAAGATTCATGCTACACTACCAAGCTGGTTCACATGCGGTGTCAAGTAGTTTGTGAGATGAACAGCTCATGCAAAAGGTCACACACATCTTTGCTTGCTTCTGGTGTTCCACATCAACTTCTCAATTGTCCTTCTTCTCACTCCCCTCACATTCTGTACAGATCTCCCCACTTTCCTCTCTCCTCCTTTCTGAGCCTGGACTTTTCCCTCACGCCATTCATTGGTTCAGCCTGCTCAGCTCCTGGTGAGCAGAAGGTAGCTCTTTGGAGCAGGCAAGCCCAGGGCTGCTGCCAGCAGTGCACTAAAGCAGGGATTCTAAACGTATCCACCAGGGGACACCAACATGCTGGTGTTCAACTATTAACACTGGAAGGCAACAGATTTCCTTACTTTGTAAAACATAAGCTCAAAACCAAATATTTAAAACTCAAATGCCCAATCAGATATTTTGAAGTATGTCACTGTGACTAAGTGAGCAGGCTTGCTCTGTCACCATGGCACTCTATTTTGTCTGAATGAAGGGGTTTTCTGGTCACCTCCCTTTGCTCTCTAACACTGACCCGGGAAGGGTTCTGATTTTCCAAACTGACCTATCTTCATGAAGCTTCTCACGGAAGGGCAGGACTGAAGAAGTTGTTGTGGAACGCTGTCCTCTGGGCATAGCATGGCTAGTAGTAGCACCTTTACCACTGCAGCTGTGTTTGTTTGCCTGAACCACACTCTCCAAAGACTGGGATTATCAGCACTCATTCACAGGAGGGGGGAATGGGGTCATCTGATCCTCACCTCAGACTGCAACCACTCACTCACTCCCTCTTGTCACCCTTTCCAGCTGTGGTCTCAGGAGGTACTAGAGCATGTTAAGAGGTGGAAGGTTAATGAAGAGGAGACTCCATCTTTGAAGCTTCAGGGAAGTTGCCATCCATGTTGGGGTGGGAGTTTTTAAGGGTGCAGCTGTTTGGGGGTCACCTATACATCTGTGGGGAGATCTAGTAAAGGCACTGCAATGTAATGAAGTCCCAACATATCCACCACCAGGTGTCCCAGAGTTTAAACTTCCAGGATGCCTTTGCCCAGATACATGCAGATTGCTAGGCCTGGATGTGTCTCTCCTCTTGCAAGTAAGAATTGGGGGTCCGCCACCTAATTCTAGGTGGTGTTCACTGCTCTAGACACCTCCATGAAAGAAGAGAGCAGAGTGTACAGAAAACTGTAGCTTGGGAAAGATTCTTGTCCACTCATAAGGCTTGTAGCTAGAGCTGAAGAGATGGCACAGCAGTTGAATGCCTCCTGCTCTTCCAGAGGACCTGGGTTCAGGTCTCAGGACCCACATCAGACAGCTCACAACTACCTGCACATTCAGCTTCAGGGAATCTCCCACTCTTTACTGGCCTCCAAGGATATCAGCACACCTGTGACACACACATAAGTAAAAATCAAACTTAAAAGAAGAGAAAGTTTGTACCTGCAAGGTTTCCTCTCCTCCTCGAGTGGAGGCTGTGTCCTGGCCCTGACATGCTCATGATGGGCCTGCTCAGTGTTCCCCCAGAAATGGGAACTGTCTTGAGCTTCAGAATGCCACCTGCGGGTCTGCTGACTGACCTGTGAATGGGTAAGAATGAGCTGAGCTGGCCATAGTGGCCTTCCTTGTGGAGCCTTCGCTCAGGGCTGTCTCCCAAGACCACTGGCCTCTGAGCACACATTGGGATGGCATCACTTAGGAGGGTTCAGCATGTGCTGGTTAAAAAGGCTGATTTCTGCCTTCCTTTTTGCAACATCCAGCATGTAGATGAAGCCCAAATCCCTTCATTTGGCTTTAATATCTGTACGGTTCAGTTGCCAGGTTGTTGCTGAGGACCTGTGAAGTTTGCTTGGTTGCATTCAAGGCTGAAGATGTATTTATCTGTGGTGAAATTCACCTCTGCTTCTGTTCCCTAAGAACAAGCAGTGTGGACACTATGCCAGAGGCAGCCTGACACAGCCTATCTGGTGCTACATCAACTCCTCCTGGAGGTGTATGCAGGAAACATCTCTACACCTCCCTGTAGCTCAGGTGGGTTCACTAAGTGACTGTGTGTGTGTGGGGGGGGGGGGGGACTCCCTGGTACTGCTCTATACCGAAAGCCTCCGTTTTTGGTTTTTGTGCCTGAGTGCTGTAATCCTTTGCTGGTTGGAACCCTGTTTTCGGCAACCACTTCCAGCCAGCCAGACACCTTTCTGTTCACTGAGGCCTTTCTACAAAAAAACAAAAACAAACAAACAAAAAAAACCACTTTTCAACCTGACTTTGAGTTCACATGGAAAGCACCAAGAGGTGGGAAGGGCTTAGATTCCTTTAGAAGCAAGTAGGGTCCTTCTGCTCTTTGGTTGGAGGGGAGTGCACTAGTTGTAGGGAGAAATGCTGGATGTAAGTTCAGTTTGGGAGCCTGACTCTGCCATGTTGATGCTCTATCTGTTAAGTATGGGTGGGGTGGACACATGTGAGGACCTCACGTGCAGCCAGAGATCTTGTGTGGGCTTGGTGTCCAGTGAAAGGGCTAAGTGGATACTGTTCACTCTGTGAATAAGATCAGAAAGTGGTGTGTGTGTGTGTCGGGGGGGGGGGGCCCTTAACACTAGCCTCTGGTGGTTCTAACTTCCTAGTCTCTAGCTCTTACACTTCCTTGGCCATCCTGGGCTGCCTACACCTTACTCCAGGACTCTGGAGCAGGAGCTAGCAAACTTGTGAACTTCCTGCCAAGGACTTCCAGCTTTCATCCCTCCTGCTTTAAAGACAGACCCTTTAGGATCTCAGAAAACCAGGATCTTTCTCACATATTTGCTCCTAGCTCTAGCAACCTACACTGACGAATGAACGTGTTTCTGCAGCCAGGAGCTATGAACAGCAGCTATCTATTAAATGTTTGTTGTGTGCCTACATTTGTGTTGAGCCCAGGATATGGCTTTGTATGGTATCAGGCAGCCCAACAAGACTGGCCAGGTCATTCAGGCTCAGAGTGGCACTGAGAGCTTGGATAATGTACTTTATGGACCTGTCCATGCACCCCACTCATGAATTCCAATATTAACTCCTGTGGTCCCACTGCTGGGCTCCCTTACTTTCCTGTACCCTAGGCTTCTCAACTCACAACCTGTGGGGCGTTTACCCACCAACCCCACAGCTCCCCAGAGTTTTCTTGAGTGTGAGTAGCAGGAAATACTAGATAGAAGGATTTATTGTGGAGAATCTTGCAGAGATAAACAGTTAGAAAATAAAGGATAGTCTCGAGATGGCCTGGAACCTTTTCCAATGGGCCCCAACTGTCTCTGCCCCAGGGTATTTATGGAGATGCCAAGGGGTGGAGCAAAAGACCTCCTCCCCCAGCACAGCCAAGTGCAGACCATCTCAGACACCTGCACTCAGGCCCGTGGTCTAATCATCCTCTATGCGGACCTGCTGGGTGAAGCCACAAGGAACCTGAGAACGGGCTCCCACAGGTCCCCCTTTCTTAATATATAAAAAATAACTATTAATGGCTTACAGCAATCTCCATAGCTGTTACACCTCCCAGTATGGGAGTAGAGGATGATAAAGATGGCATTTCTCTTTTGAATTAGGTCCAAGGTGACTACAGCAGTCTTTAGCTGCATCAGTCATTTCTAAACCAAAAACTTAATGTAATTGCAAACTTAAAGAATCCCTTAGCTTCATCATTACCATTAACAGGTTAACATAAATATTGCTATACATGGTCACAATTCTCCCAGTCTTACAATTCAAAACAAACTCTTTACAGAACCATTTGAATTAACATATATGGTGCTATATATAGTTAACAATTTTCTCAGTCTTACAACTTTAACTCTTAATCATTTGAATTTTCTTGCTAACAGAACATAGTGCTGTGGGATGGTCTGTATGTCAAATTGCTCTGATTGGTCAATAAATAAAACACTGATTGGCCAGTGGCCAGGCAGGAAGTATAGGCAGGACTAAAAGAGAGGAGAATTGAGAGAATTCTGGGAAGTGAAAAGGGAGGAGGGAGACACGGCCAGCCGCCTCCATGACAAGCAGCATGTGAAGATGCCGGTAAGCCACGAGCTATGTGGCATGGTATAGATTTATAGAAATGGATTAATTTAAGATATAAGAACAGTTAGCAAGAAGCCTGCTATGGCCACACAGTTAGTAAGCAATATAAGTCTCTGTGTTTACTTGGTTGGGTCTGAGCGGCTGTGGGACTGGCGGGTGACAGAGATTTGTCCTGACTGTGGGCCAGGCAGGAACACTCTAGCTACAACATAGGAAAAACTTCTGATGTATTCACATCAAACGTAAATATTTCCTTAACTCCACAAAACCAGGGTGCATTAATATCAATAGGTTAAACATAATTTCTGCAAACATACATTCAACCTTAATTTACTCATAATTCCTTTTCTTTATAATCTTTTAAACAAAAATCTCAAACCTAGTTAGAGGAACCCAAACTTACACAATTTCTATAAACCCATCCCCAAATTCAAATTATAAATTCTGGTACTAGCCTTCCAAATATGAAGAAATCCATAACAAATCTTTTTATAGTTTTATCTCATTTTAAGTTCAAAAAGTTCAAACAAGAAATAAATTCTGGTATCAGGCTTTCACTTCCAAATATGAAGAGACATTTTACAACCAAAACTTTTTGCATTAACAATTTTAGTTCAAACAAGCGTCTCTGTAACTTTTGTTCTCACAGACAGAGACCTTTTTAGGTACAGTAGTATTCTAAACCACACCGTTTTTGATGTTAGCTCAGGTTTTTCTGTGTTGTGTTGATTTTCCATGGATCTCAGCAGCAGATGCCTTGTTGTGCTGGTTCTGGTGTCCACCATTCTTAGCTTCTTAGCAGCTTCTGGAGCTTTTGAAACCATTCAGACTGCCTACTTTGCAGTCTACTAGGACACTATCTTCTGTGTCTCAGATTCTTTTACCATATACATTAAGCATAGATTCACACTCAATATTTACACTTTCACAAACTCACATATAACATATTAACATCTACTTATTTATATACAGTTAAGGAAACTGTAGAACTACTTTATCAAATATATTTCTTATTACTTCTTATATATTTCTTATATTCATTCCATCTTATTTCTTATTTAAACTTACATTTACAACTAGCATCTTTACTTCTTACAAGCTTATTACTATATGTCTTAAGACTACTTTAGATACTTCTTGCAAGCTTATATTCTTAAAGGAACTCTATGGATCTATTTTACAAACTTATATAGGGCTACTATTAGCATATATTTAAATTAGCAAACACCTAAAGATTTCTTATCACAGAGATCTAACAAGACAGAATTTCTACAAACTCACATATCTTATTTTCATCTTTTTCTACTTCTTACTCTTAATTATCATCACTATCTCTATTAGAAAGATTCTCTTAACTAGACAGGAAGTACATACATCATTTCTAAAGTTTAGAGTTTATAGTCAGCTTTGCTATACAACACTGGGATTTAGTGAGTGTTGTTGTTATAGAGTTGTGATACTTGTTGCTAGGGGACTGTAACATTCTTAGGATGAAGCCACACCCCAAAGTTGCCAGTTCTCTCAGCCATTCTGGAACCGGCAGAGATGCACTGTCAGCGGTAAATGGTTTTTAACTAGAGGCTGTCCCTTCACCCAAATTCATAATAGCTCCCCTAAGTGCTTCAATTCAGACAAATATATTTCTATTACAGCAGTACTTTTGGTTCGTTCTACCTAAAAACTTCACTTCATGCTGAGGATGAAATTACCGTATTTAGCTGCTGTAAAGCTCTTCACCAAAACTGCACAGCTATTAGGTGATATAAAGTATTTTTCTAAAGGAGCTAGTAAAGCCACAAGTGGCACAGCTCCGAACTCTATTTCCTCACTGTTTGCATTAACCAATGACAAAATCTCAGAAACACTAATTGAGCCACTTTCATTCTGGTTCCTTTATAGGAACGTCATAGGAGCTGACTTTTCTTAGTTCCACACTCCTTACCAAATGCTACGGTAACCACCGAGCTTCATTCTCCTCTTGTGAAAAAACACAAACATGTCCTCGACCCCATATTAAAACAGGATCGGGACCCTTCCATAATCCCGAGCAGGGATCTTTCCATTTCACTTGAGCAAAAGTCGCTTGGGTGCCACTGTGCCAAAATCTATCTGTGGCAGACTGCACACAGACATCCATATTCAAAAAGTTCAGAACAAAAAGAGCATGATTTAATGCATTATGTGGCGATTGAGGGTAAAGTTCTTCCTTTATTTTTATTTTTTGAAGTTGTATTTTAAGACTGCTATGAGCCCTTTCCACAATACCTTGTCCCTGAGGATAATAAGGAATACCTGTTTTATGTACGATTTCCCATTGGGTACAAAACTGTTGAAATGCCTTACTACTATATCCAGAACCATTATCAGTTTTATGCCCATATACGAAACACACTTCAAGCAGTGCATAATTACATGTTTTGTAGCTTCCCCAGGTTGTGCACTAGCCATTAAAAATCCTGAATAAGTGTCAATGGTCACATGTACATATTTTAATTTGTCAAATTCTACAATATGAGTAACATCCATTTGC